TTGTGAGTGTATAGTCTTGTTGGGTGTAGTGTAGCTGAGTTCTCTGAGCTGGATAGTTTAGACGCAAGGCCCTCATTGTCTCCCTAGACAGCATCTTCAGTGCTAATTTTGGGATAAGGTGACTTTTGAATTCTCCTTAGATGTCTCAATGAACTTGAGGACTTGTAGGTGTGGGGATAGCATTGAGTGTTGGGGCAGAAAATCACGTCTTGATCGAATCTTATGTGTGCGGTCCGTCTAAACAGGTCTGTTAGAAGAAGGAAGGACGGCGTTACCCATCATTGTAATTTCATATTCTCCGCTTACTCTGCAGTTCAGGTGAACTAAAGGATGACTTCTACCTGAAATTGTTTCATTTGATGCAAAAAGCTAAACGCCCAAAAATGATTGTTTTGGCAGGGAACATTAATGCCCAAGTAGGGAAGTTGCACCAGACTGGGAAGTATGTTGGTGGTACGTATGGAGTTCCCTGCAGACAAACGGACCACGATGATCGTCTTCTACAGTTCTGTTCAGATAATCTTCTGTTTCTAGTCAGCACTAACTTTAGGCACAAAGAGGGACACCTCCGTCACCAAATCAACGCTAGACTCAAACAGGCCATATAGTTGTAGGGTATCGTTGGCGAGGATCAGTAGACGACCGCCTCTCCCTCTGGAACACGTGCGTAAACTCCGATCACTCCGTGTTTCGCTCACGTTTATACTTACGATTAAACGGACATAAAAATTGCTAGTAGCGAAGCAGTTACGTCCCCAACTAGATCGTGACTGTGAGCCCCTATTTAGGGAAGAAATAGCGAAACAGGTATCTGAGATGGGAAACAAGGTTCCCCCTGAGAAAGCATAGCACAACCAACAGTTAACTATAGACACAACTATTAAGGTTTTGAATAACCTAAAACCAAAAGTTAGTAAGAGCCATTAGATTTCTACTACCTCATCCGAACTGATTGACACAAGCAGACTGATTCCGGCGAGCTCCGATTATGATGTGGAGCGGAAGCTATTCAAACGCAAACTAACAAGAAGTCTCAGTAACAACCGTAAACAGTGGTGGGGGACAGAAGCAAAATAGATGAAAAAGGCATCGGCGGTTGGTGATATCAGACAACTATTTAGGCTTATCAGGGAAACAGATGGTAAAAGGCAAATGATAAGTGAAAAATATCTGAAAAAATGGCACCATGATTAGCTCCCAGGATAGATGACTAGAACGTTGGAAAGAACACTTTGAGAAGTAGTTCAATTGGCCTACAGCCACGATCAACACATAAAACATCCAACGCCTCCCTGAATGGGATATAAACACCGGACCTCTGTCTCTAACTAAGGTTACTAAGGCTGTCACTAATCTGAAACGAAGCAAAGCTGCGGAACCTGATTGAATGGCTCGAGAGGTGTTCAAGGACGTTGAGACAGTATACTGTCTGCGTTAACTAAGGTATTAGGCATAGCCTGGGAATCAAAGGAAGTCTCATCGAGTTGGTGTAAGTCACTGATTATCTCGACATACACAAAGGGAGACAAGTCTTCCTATGATAATCACAGGGGGGATTAGCTTCACCACTATAGTATATAAAGATCCAGACTCAATAATCATGTGTAGACTAAGTTGTGCTCGGGAAGAACTAGAACGAAAGAACCAGGTGGGCTTTATACGAGGAAGAGAGTGTATTGATCATGTCTTCACCCTTCGACAGATTCTGAAACAAAGGTATACTTAATGACGTACAACAGTTGTCAGATTCGTTGACCTGAAGGCATCGTTCGATTTCGTCGACCGAGGGGCGCTATGGCGATGTTTGGCTGTGAAGAGAATCCCGAGAAAATGCATCTCATCAATCAAGCCACTCCACTCGAACTCATGCAGTCAGCGAGGTGAGAGTCTTTGTCTGAAGTGGTGGCAACCAGTGGTGTTCATCAGAGATGCTCACCGACCCCATATCTGTTTAATTTCACAATAGATGTACTAATGGACTTAACCCTAACTGACTTTGAAGACTCAGGACAGACTTGTTATTGTCAGAGAGTAATCTCCTTTACTTCGAATATACAGATTATATAGTCCTTCTAGGTGAAGATTCTGACAAAATGCAGAGTCTTCTCAACGCCTTGAGCTGCAGTCTGCGTATGTTTGATATGCAATTCGCTCCCGCACAATGTAAGATGATGCTACAGGACTCGAAAACATTGATTCCTAGCTTAAAGATAGGGAGTGAAGTGGTCACTGAGCGTGTTGACCACTTTACTTGTTTTGGAAGTTGCATCAGGCAGTGTCAGCGGGTTGATCGCTTATGAAATCTCAACACAACGGATACAGAAGGCTCATTTGGTGTACGCCAACCTACGCCATCTCTGGCGCAGGCGTGACATCCGACTATCAACCAAGGGGCGTCTGTACTGTTCATCATTTCGCTCCGTCCTTCTCTATGGCTCTGAAACATGGCCAATACAAGTTGAAGACATGAAAAGGTTAATTGTTTTTGATCATAGATGTCTACGATCTCTTTCTCACGTCAGGTGGCATAATAAGGTAAGTAATGTTGACGTTAGGCGTAGAGTGATGGGCAAAGAGGGAAAATCAATCGACGAGGCTGCAAAGTTACATAGATTGAGATGGCTAGGTCACGTGCTGCGCATGCTTAACCATCGCCTCCCCCGACGGGCATTACTAGCTGATATAGGTGCAGGTTGGAAAAGAGTAAGTGTGGCCAAACAAAAACATGGCATCAATCCATGAAATCCCTGACAGTTAAACTGAGTCAGGTAGGGAGATGCAGACTTCCGGATTGGGTCCCGCCCTCGGGACTCTAAGAATCAATGGCTGGAGACAATAGGTGACATGGCTCAAAATCGTTGTCAATGGCGCAGATGTATTCAGTCTCTGTAATCTTTCATATTCCTTTCTACCATCGCTCATTCTGTTTCACTCTTATACTTGTCAAAACTCTAATGATTCTCTTCCCTCATTTTCCTGTCTACCTTTGTGTGCTATTTGGAACGTGGCAATTCGAACTGCTGCACTTCGGTGCCAAGTTCTATGTTGAATCCAGACAGACAGAGACAAAGGGGCTGGGTATTACTCAGCAGTCAGTTCGCTCTGTCATCATATATGCCTGTTAGACCTGGCCATTGAAAGTGGAAGATATGGAAAGCTTGACTGGTGTATGTGTTCTATCTCCCGTGTTAGGTGATGTAATGGGATGAACAGCATTAAGGTTAGGTGTTGAGTGTTAGGTAAGCAGGGGAAATCAATCGACGAGGTTGTGAAGTTACACCGACTGAGATGGTTACGACATATGTTACTCATGCATAGCCGTCGCCTTCCTTGACAAGTAGTGTAAGTCGACAAAGGATGGATCAGGTTGGAAAAGAGCTAGTGGTGGTCAAACCGAAACATGGCTTCATCAGTCAGTGAAATCCACAACAGTTAGTTACAGCCAGTCACGTAGGGAGGTGTAGATTACCTGACTGGTTGGGGTCCTCGGGACGGTAAAAACCAATGGCTGGACACAACTTGTTATATGGCTCAAAATCGTTCTCAATGCATAATGCAGATGCATTCACTCTTTGTGGTTTATAATATCCAGTAAAACTGTATTGTTCTTCCATATTACTGTTCTTTTTGTCTCATATCTCTGTTTTAAATATCTTTTTACTTTCTTCTCTTGTTTTGTGTGCTAAGTGAATTCTTGCAGCTAGAACTGTTGCACATCTGTGCAAAGTTCTACGTTGAAACCAGTCAGTCAGTTAATGAAATTGAACGTGATAGATTGTCTTTGGAGATTTTCTAAGACTATTGTTCACTTGCATTAGTATTCATTATTTTGTGGACCTGATATATGAATTTCTCTATGTTCGACTGTCGTTCACTTTGTTCTTTTTCAGAAGGTAGGTAGTGGTAGTAGTGGCTCTATAGAGAGTGTGATCCTTGGATACCTTGTCAAAACTGACTATTCCATCTCAACAAACACCTCCTTCAAAGTAATCTACAGTCAAGAATAACCTACCAAAGGCGATACGCTTTCGTATCCTTTAGATTGCTGAAGCTTTAGCCATTCAGCTGGAAAAACTAGAAACTCTATGAAATTCTGCGAAAGTGGCTATCACCTGAAACTAAGCAATCAAAAGATGTGACCATTGTAGCCATTGTAAATAGAAAATTTAAGCGATAGAAAATATTAAATAATGCGTTGAATTGCGTGTACTTGCCTCATTCAATATTTTACAAAATGGACATCGCATCTGCCTGTAAAAAAACCAAATCTATGCAGTATGAGAAGTAAATAACATGTGAAAATAATTCCTGAGTATTTCTGTAGATTTTCTTTAAATAGATACATGTGGAGGACCGTTAACACCACTAGCTAAGGTAAACAACAAAGTAAGTGAAAATGACCAACAAAACGAACTAGCTTACCTCATAATGTCAATGTATAATCCTCTGAACTGCAATAAAACACGATTAAAAGTTGTTTTAATGCGTGTCTTTATGTAATTTGTCATTTTGTAGTTAATGTGGGAAATAAGTAGTGCATCTTGAAAAACCTTTGGATTGGTGAAAAGACTATATATAATCTGAACAAGAAAACAGACATCCAATCCCCATCTAATCTCATATCACTTCACGGAGTGATAGGTGTGATCTAATTTGGTCTGATGCCTTACTCACTAGCATTACCCCCTAATCTTAGGCTACATAAAATTGCAGTTTTGGAATAGCACCAAGATTAGTTGTCCTGCAGACAATCTTATCAGTTACCTTACTAGTTTCTGGGTATTTTAACACCCATCGTACGAAAAGCTGAATTTTGTTACTGTGCAAGACTATGCACCAGCCAAGAAGCTGAGCAGATCTGGATAACTAAATGTCTTCTGATCAGCAACAAGGAATCACATATTTTACATTGCTTTTCAGAACATTATGGGCCCAACTGCGAATGTTCCTATGTATTCTAATGACTCTTCAAAATTGAACTAGGATATTATTTTGTTATACCCTTCATGTTTTGGTGAACGGATTCAATTTCGCGTTTTTATTCCGTGTTGAAATGTACTGCTTGATACTTTGTAAAGAAGAGTTCGCATCCGGAAATCTCAGCACAGCCAAATATCTAAGGTATCTGTTCCTTAAATATGACTCATATATTTGCTAATTAAGAGAAATCTTCGAGCTGTACTTGGAAGCGGCTTATGTGAAAATTGTACATGTCAGTAATGAAGGCTCTTTGAAGGATGTAGAAAATTTCAACTTGTCCACCTCTCACCCGAAAATTGCAATAGCACTGCATTTACGAAGATGTGCAAGTTTACTCCATCGTAAGTTATCCATCGTTTTATAAAATAAATAAAAATTTTACGAATAATGAACGGATTCGTTTTACTGATAAATAATTTTGTGAAGTTGTTAGACTATAAATAAGCAAACTTTTGATCTGACTGCTAGGTTTTAGGTCCTTTACAAATGTTCAGTACCTTGTGGCATATAGTTAACCTATACCTTCACAGTAAATCTGACATTTCTATTATATGCCCGTCAGAACCCACATATACTGTCTTATTTATTTTTTGTCGTGCATTTTTTCATGTGCTAAACGCTCGTTCTTTAGTGATTGGGACATCTTCCTTTGTTCTTTTTTGAAATGAGCTTACCCCTTTTTGTGGTTCCATTTCTTTTCTTTAATTCGAAGGCCTGGATAAAAATATCCCTATACTATCTGTTTGTACTGGAAGTGACCTGTATCTGGATAAAAACCACGCCGTGTATTTGAAGGCAATGGATGAACTAGTCAAACGAAGTTTGTAAGTGTGTTGACTAGTAATTTGGTTTTATTCATTTTAGTGCAGTTGTATTATTCAATCAGCCGATGCTGAAGCAATTTAAAGAAATCTGGGTAAGCTCATGCAGTCATTATATATAAACATATATATGTCTACCTTATATTTTTGAATGTATGAATACAAATATGATTATTTCAGAGATATGTCTGTACAAGTTTGGTTTGACAGTAATTTTGAAGGCACTATGCTATCACCCGCGACTATCACTTCCTCCAGCAAGTCCTCAGTTTGCTAATGGATTGTCTGCAACTTTGATCACCTGGCTAACAAATATTACTGCACTGGTACACTGTAGTCAGTTTCAGAATTTCAGACTTATGGTAAACTGAGTGCAAAAGTGACATCCTATAGAGATAGTCAGTATTTTACATTTCGCACAGTCATAGTATAGACAAACTTAACCTATACCATTAAATTCCAAGAACATTTTATCATAAGTGCAATGGGTGACTTTCTACTGTTGTAAAGTGTTTAATTATAACGAAAACAACAAGTACAATGTGGTGTGACACTGTGGTTGTCTCTCACGGTTCACATAAAAAGTGAATTAATTATTCCGAAAAGTTCATATTTTACTTATGCGACTTAATATTAACTTTTAGGTCATAAAATAATGTGTCTACATAACAGAAAACAATATTTCTAATCACGATTACCGAACTAATAATATATATGACATCCATGTCTCAAAATGTCAAAATAGAGGTTAAACGTATTGAAGTGTTTGAAGTCCATAAATAAAGCAGCATCCTTCTCCGGTTTCTTCTCTGTGTGCCTAACTGTTGTTACCACTGGACAATAATTTAGTGCTTGGAATGAATGAGTGCACCAAACCAACTACATGTGCTAGTTTCCGTATTACTGTACTTAAAGATTTATAAAGTAAAAGACATTCTGCTTTTCTTACTGTTTTGACTGTGTTTTAATGGGTTGTGTGCATACCTATTGAAAAATCACAAGGCATTGGAGAATTACAGTAATAACGGCTTCATTCCAAACAATACGTTTGATACATTTTAGATTTTTAGCCTGTAGTACATCATAAATATCTGCACTGAAATGCGGGAGATAGTTAAGTAAATATTTTCTTAAAGGAATCAGAGTCAAAAGTAATTTCGTATTATTGGTTGTCACAATCATTTCCTATTATATTGATCTATGTGGCCTTGTTCTGATCTGGAAGATAAACTCACTTTTTCGAAATTACCTAAGACTGGCAACTCACTGATCTTTTGTTTAACGACATCAGTTATGTGGCTTTAAAGAAACTTTAGACAATACACTTTAAAATAAATATTTCCGATATATTTAAACAACTCTCTAATAAATCAAGTGGATGAAACCCATAATATTACGTTTTATTTCTCAAATTTCTCATCTGTGACGGCTTCGTCTCTCATTTATTATTGCATTATTTTATGTGCATAAGTTCTTACAACTCCAAACAGTGTCTGACTCTTCTACGGCCTATATTAATTTGAACATTTATGCGTTACCTGTTATATGTTAATAAGAATTGTTACCATCTTCAAACTTCTTGATTAACTAATAACTTATACTATAATTAAATGTAAATTGTATTAAAAACTTCATTTTCTGTATGGATTTTCCGTAATGACCAGATAAGCACACTAAAAATTATCACAGTTATGCTTCTTCTAGGAGATAAGTGAATGTATAAGATTACACTATTACATAACAGCTTATCTTTGTAAGACAGTGTACTTCTCAAAAGGAAAGAAACAAAAATGTTTGGCAAGAAAGTTAATTTTGGGAGGAATCAGAGAATATGACTTGAATGAGAATAAATAGATGCGAAGTAATAAAGAGTACAAATAAGTTTTGAGTAACACAGCTAGAATGTCAAGTCATTGTGTCGATACAGTTAAGATGACACCTAGATTAATATTGAAGGGCATGCATACGAAGTTTTATTCTCGAAAGCAGACAAAACCATACAGAATTATGAATGACATTTAACAAATTCAATCAGTGGTTACTAGAATGTAGGAGGCTGTAAAAGAAGAAAGTCACCAAAATATGTTGTTGGTTTAAGTTAGAAGGTATTTGAGGTGTTTATATGATGTCAGTAATATGTAAATCTACGTAAACTATTCAAGTAGGATTTTCTTTTTCTTTATGAGCTTATACTGAATTATACCTGTCGACTATTAAGGAAATGCAGCTGATAACAAAACTTTGTTTATTGGTAGAAGAAGTTTATGAAGATATTTTTGTTTACTTGCAATCGAGACTAGTTCACTCTATAAGCTATAATAAACCGTGTGACATACGCTGAAGAAGCTTCCTAATGTTGAAACCTGTGCGCGGTAACTCTGCTTATGAGCATTTTATAGTCTACATTACATTTACAAGCACTAGTCAAATTTTTGTTCTATGTAGAGTAAGGGGGATATGGTGTAGAGAGAAATTAGAGGAAGAATTTATGATTCTCTAAAAGATTTTGAAAAATAACGGCTACCCTCAGAGATTCATCAACGGAAGATGCGAAGACTCAAATGTCAAACAAATCACAGTGAGAAAAAAGCCTTTCTTCTTTCAACTCAATTTTAAAGGTGATGATATTGCAGGAATAGTCAACATAAGATTGAATACCTCACTAGCCAGAGCCTACTCTCAAGCCAAATTGGTTCTCGTTCATCAGACAACATGCTCTTTGGTGCCACCCAATGTCGACAGATACCCTTCTCATGTTTATACTAACCATGCATACAAATTTACATGTATCTCGGTAGCAGTTACATTCGGAGAATAGAAAGAAGAGTACACCATCGATATTCATAACATTTACCAAAAAGTCTAATGTCTTAAGAGGGCAAGCGCTTACAATAGCGCCATCGCCAAACATCTCCCTGGCACCGGTCATGAGTTCGACATCACGAAGTCCTTTGAAAGTATCATTAGACAAAATAGTCCAATTCTACTCACGTTCGCTGAAGCCGTCTCCGTCAGACGCATAAAACCCGACTTATGTGTCCAGAAAAAAGCAGTTATCAGTCTTTCCTTGTCCTGGTAACTGGATGTCTTTATTCTCTCTTTCATTTGATTGCTTAATCTTTGGCTTTTACCTCTTGGCTTTATTACGTAACCCCTTAAGCACTGTATGAAGACAATAATTTTTTGTTTAAACTTGAACTCTCTGTCAACTGACATCATGTGAAAGTTGAAAGTATGTTAAAATTGTTTCTATACATGAACCGCTATTTATTATTATTACTATTTAAAGACAACGTATAACTGGTTTGGCAAACACAATATAAAACACAAAATAATCGAGCAAAGAATATTCTTTTCGATAAATTCCTCTTCCAGGCTCTACAATTATATATATATATGTTTATACGTACAGAATATTTTAAATTAGCGTTTTTTTAAATAATATCGATTTGTAAAGTAAGATCAATTCTATTACAGTTTATTAAAGATGCTTAAATTATAAAAATAAGGATATAATAGCGAATAGAATATCAACTAAAATTAGGGAAATTTCACAAAAATTTATGATCATTCAAACCCGGATGGCAAAGCTAATGATAATGTCTGAACTAACTTCTTTTGGATGCATAAATTAGGCTTCTTAATATGGATCCCCACAGCCTCAGCAATATTTAGTAGTCGAACTCTTAACTCAAAATTGAGATTCGTAGGTACGCGGTAAATGACCTTGGAAGCATGATTAACGTCAATCTTGTGTTCCGTCTCCACAAGATGAGCTAGAATAGCGCTGCGAATAGATTTTGTTTGTCCTTTGCCTAACCAGGCAGGGCAATGTTCGGAAATTCGACGCGAAACACGGCTAATTGTACGGCCTATGTAACTGGCTCCACAGGAGCAGTTAAATTGGTATATACACATGGAAGAGGCGAAATTAGGCAGTTTGTCTTTTATTCCCGAACGTAGAAGAGAAGTGGTTTCAAAGATACAGCGTAAATGAGCAGCAGGGAATGCTCTTTTTTATTGCATTTCTAAGGCGCTGTGTTAGTATCTCACTGGTGTGGTCTCCTAGGAACTGCATCTGTAAGAACAAGGCCTTTTTTGGAACTGTTGGTAACTTGGGCTGTTTTGATTTCAGATTCATATTCTTATCAATAAACTTTTCGGGATAACCATTCTTACTTAGCAACCGTTTAATATTGTTAAGTTACTCGTCAAGACATTCGTCTGAGCGAATCTCTCTTGCTCTGTGGACCAAGCACTTTATTAGATTGCGTTTGTATTTCAAGGGCACAAAGCTGAGAAAATGTGTGTACTAGCCCGTTGATGTAGGTTTTCTATAAACACTTCTTCTTATTGTGCCGTCCTCTTTTCTGGTCATAAGGACGTCTAAAAATAAAATACTAGAGTCTTTTTCTTTTTCAATAGTAAAATTTATTGCAGGATGAACTCCGTTAAATTTATCCAGGATGTTCTTTGCTTCTTCCTCATTTTTCATAATCAAAAATGTATCATCCATGTAACGACAATAAAATTCAAGTTCATTAATAACATCCTTCAAAGGCCCATTTTCTAGTTTCGCCAGGAAAATGTCGGCTTGAATGGGTCCTAGTGGTGACCCCATTGCCACACCGTCGATTTGTCTATACAGTTCCTTATTAAGTAAAAAGTGGACATTCATTGTACATTTCAAGAGAAGCTCCTTCGTAAAAGATATAGCAATGCCAACATTGATGTTTCGTCTTTTGAGTTCTTCACATATAAAGTCCACTGTTTCCATGAGAGGTACATTGGTGAATAAAGAGGATACGTCAAATGATATCATGAATTTATTATCAACATTTAAATCTCTTATCCTTTCAACGAATCCAAAAGTATCCTTTACACTATGTTTCACCAACTCAGTATGAAGGGTCTGTAAGAGTTCAACTAACCATTTAGCTACCGGATGGTATGGTGAATTTAACATATCTAATACTGGTCGTAGCGGTACACCATTTTTGTGCACTTTAGGCGAGCCATATAGTCTCGGTGTATACAATCATGGGAGAAAATGTTTGCAATTCGGCAGCCATCGAAACTAATTTTTCATTCTGAAATGACATAAGTGGCTTAAATTTGGTAATAGTGACTACACGTAGTCTGATGCGAGACTGTATGTCTCAGATTTTAATATTCTTGTTGTTAGATACTTGATCAAATAAGATTTTCTAAAGTGAAGACAACCCAGACATGAAATAGTTTGTTTTTTTATTTTCATCATCAGATAAATAAACATAACTTTTGGTTTGACACTAGTAACTAGTGTGATGCCGATTGCCTCCAACCACCTAATAAACATAAATTTATCATTTATAACAAATAATATATTTAGTATATACACGTATCAACTCAGTAAAGTAATATACTGCTATTTTAGCAGGTAATATATTCCACAACTGTTTAATCAATGAATTTAAAAAAAAATTCTTTAAGTCTAACTTTATGACACGTTTTAAGAAACGTGCAGTTTTCAATAAGATGCCGATGACTTTCCTCCAAAAGATATTGGTTACCTAGTCATGTGTTACCTTGAGATTATGACACCGAGTGATGGAATACACTACACGCTCAGTGTTGTAGCCAAGAGCAGTCAGTAGTAAACAGGACCTTTCTGCTTAGAAATCCAGACAGTCTTTTTTCACAATAGTGTTGCCTATTTAGTATGTTGACAGTTTCAGAAAAGCATAATGAAGCATTGTGAGTAATCTTTAGTTGAATGAATATTTTTATACATTGCAATATTAGCTTATATTGACTCTGTTTCTTATGTATCTGTATATTTTTAAAAGTAGGAAAAACTAAACTAATATATCATCCTTTATGTTTTCTAAGACTTAATCTCTCTGTATATCACTTCATTTTAGTGAAAAGGCTAATTCTCGACATTTCACTCAACAAAATTTGTTTATAAGAGTTACTTTGTAAGGATTTGATTGGTTTGAATTTCGATCACGATTCATATCAATTAGAGAACTATTGAAAACCACGGAGTACTGGACAGGTGTTTCATCCCAGTCTAAGACTCATCTACAGTACACAACCACTGGACAGGACATTACAGTTAACTGGGAAGCTGATAGACCATTCAGCCACTGGGACCCAAGTTACTGGCATATGAACCTTAACTTCTACCAGTTCGCGATTTCAGTGCGACAGCTAGCCGATGTCGTTGGCAAGTATTTGTCCTCACTCTCGACCTGGTGGTCACGAATTCTCACCAGAATTTCAGGCTACTTCATCCTGATATGCACTCACTAGCAATCATCAGACTAATGGTATACCAGCTTGTTTTGTAACCATAAAGTCCGGGGTTTTGACCCAGGGAGGTGCATAGTGTCAGTGAGTCCCAAACTGGGACAAAATAGCTGTTCAGTACTCACTGACTTCCAATGGTTCTCTAACTGATATCAATCCATGATTAGACTTGAAAAGTTTTATTATATTTACGCGTTTAAGTGATAAGTGAGTTTGGTGTCCATGGCTTTTTTCGTTTGTAAGGCAATGTAAAGTCTACCTCTGTTCATTTTGCTTTTCAAAATTTCCGGGACTGCTTCGACTAAATGTAACTACTGGCAGTTAATTTGGATACACTTGATTATTTTAAGTTTAATATAGATTTTTTTTAGTGCCTGAAATGTATCAAGATGTTCTGTCCCAGATAAGTGTATTTTGTGGAAGCCTTAATTCTAAGTTTTAGGGGATTGAATGCTTGATATTGTTCTAATAACATCATCCTCGGTATCCCGACTGAGCACGTATTTTAGGATACCTGTTTCTACCTTTTAAAACTACGTTATAATTCGTTTTCAACGGAAATGCACAGAACTTTATGAAACTGTATTTATTTGTATTCCATTAGGAGTGGGATATACTTAGATATCTTGATATAGAATTCAGTAATTTTTCAGCATTATATTGTTCTTTCGACTTAATTAATAGGGTTGTATGAAAGTAGGATCCGAAATACAACTACACATGAATGACGTCAAAATTTATTTCATTTTATACTCAATTTTATGTTTTGTCGACATCAATGGCTGAAGACAGTTGGTAACATTGACTTGAGGTCACTGTCGATGGCACAGATGCATTTACTCAAAGTAATCTTTCATATTCGTCAAATAATCATTCTTCTTTCTTCCGACTATTGTTTTATCATTGCATCTCTTTACCCTGCCTTTATCTTTGTTTCCTTGATTTAATTGAACTTGAACAAATTAATTTATATGCAAAGTTCTACGTCAATAATTCATTTCATTCCGATTCACTTCTCCAGCTTCATTATTGACTTTAATGATGCATTAACTTGAAGCACAGGTATTTTCATACCTTCAGTTTGGCATATTTAACAAAGTGATGGTAATATCAAATGTTGTTATTTTTAATAAAACTGTTTCATATGTCTTTATTTGCTTTCTTTATTCAATACTTGTATATTTAGCCTCGTTTCAATGGTCAGCTGAAAGTTATACATCAAGGTAAGTTTATGTTAAAATAACTACGTATGCTTATTCAGATTTATACAAGACAGAATCATTAGAACATGTCAGTCAGAGAACCACTGAAAACCAGGGAGTACTGGACAGTTGTTTCATCCTAGTTTAGGACTCATCGGCATTACGCATCCAACCTTATAAATCAACTCTTGGAAATTAATCTGATGCTCGTTAGTGACTTGCTAAAGGACAGAGTTTCCTGGAGTTCTAGTGAGAAGTTGTGACCAGTAAGGTCCATCTAGTCTGGAGTGAGGATGGAGTTCCCATCGATGACACTGGTCGGTGGTCGCGCTGAAATTCACGAATTGATAGAAGTTAGACTTCATGGACTGGTCATTTGATCGAGTCCCAGTGGCTGGATGGTCTACGAGCTTGCCTGGTAAACCGAAGGTCCTGGGTTCGAAACCCAGGGGGAAGCGTACTGATGAAGACTCCCAAACTGGGACGGACGAAACAGCTGTTCAGTACTCCGTGGTTTTCAATGGTTCTCTAAATGATATTAATCCGTGGTCAAACTCGGAAAATAAATCAAATCCTTACAAATCTACTCTTGAAAATTGGAAGTTATGTTGACTTTCAGAAATCCTAAATAAAAGAAAAATAACTAGCATTGTTGGTGGGGTATTTTCTCAAACATATTTATATAACTTCTACTAATTATTCGTTTGAGGTACAACACAATGACTATGCTAAAGAAAGACAGTTAAAGAATAACAGATAAGTCTATAAGAAGATAAAATGAAGTCATGATATATACTATTAAAAACACAGAATTCAGCAAAGACACTCTTTTCAAAGAATTTGTTGTCATGCTGTGCTATTGTATATATATATATATATATATATTAAAGTTACAATGAGAATTATTAAGTTACATGCTTTTAAGTTAAACTGTGTCAGTTCCCACTAAAATTGACCCTACGATGATTGATATGAATAGCTAAACATCAAATAATTCACCTATTTAGAATGAACATCTCGCGGTTATGGTGAGCACAAGCAAAGTGAAGGTGAAATGACAGTTAGACAATTAGTAACTAATACTTATTTCTCAATGGTATGCTACAAAGTTGTAGTTTTAAGATAATATATACAACAAAATGGAAATAACATTCCTATAACAGGTGAATATATATTTAAAATAATGATTGACAAAGATGAGCAGAGTATATCATGGCTTTAATTTGATTATATAAGAAGTTAATGGTGTAAACAATGACATAATTAACAGAGTAAAATGTTGGTTTATGTGCTGTTTTGACTCTCCTATTCTTTTGGTTCGTGCATCAGTGGTTTAGAGGTAATATACACTCGCCAACCATGCCTTACCTGGTCTGGGGTTCAATCCCGAGTCGATGCATTGCTAAATCTTGTTTCGCCGGTAGTAAAACCGGTAAAGAGGGAAGGCTGGGCGCGAGGCTGACAACCTCACCCCACAAAAAACACCATTGCTACTGAAACTTCTCACCTCGAAATTGAAGCCTTGTGTTACACTCAGAACCAAAAGGAATGAAATAAATTATATAATGACTAATATTCTTTCGGTTCGGTATTTATAAACTTGTGACATATGTTATTCTTTCTGTCATATATAAACTGATGTCAGCTCATGATGAAATCCTCCATGCAATCAAACAAAATCCCTACAAAACCAATACTTGAAAGTTAATCTGATGCTCACTAGCGACTGGCCCTATTCAAGCAGTTAACTTGGGGTTCTAGTGGAAAGCCGTGGCCAGTAGGGTACGGCAGGTCAAAGATGAGGCTGTAACTCATCTAAGAAGACATTGCGAAATGGTCGCGCTATGTCGTGAATTGGCAGAAGTTAGAATTCAAGAACCATTGGATTGGGTCCCAGTGGCTCAATGGTCTACGAGCTCGCCTTGTAACCAGAAGGTCTTCGGTCCGAACCCTGGTGGTTTCGTACTGAAGAGGAGTCCCAAACTAGGACGAAACAGCTGTCCAGTCCTCCCAGGTTTTCCAGTGGTTCTCTAACTGATGTCAGCTAATGATGATATCCTCCATGCAATATATAAATTTGTCAGATTAGACAGAAAAGAGGATGAAATCTGATTTTTCCTTAATAATCCGAGAACGTAACGTAACAGTGATTTGTGTTTGTCGTGTCTTATGATAAGCGCCTCAGAGTTTCTGTGATCTGCTAAATTCTCCTCTATGATGTTGAATTCACATTTCTTACTTTTCTGATGAAAGATATTTATGCGAATTCTGCACGCGTCTGATGGTGTTACATCATATACTACTGAATAAATTTTCTCAGACAGTGGTCTAATTAATTCTGTTATATTTACCTTGAATTGGATTAGGGATGAAGAAAGTAAACTGTGTATATATTTTTTTGAATGAAGTTACTAAAACAGAAAAGTTTGGATTATTCGCTTACATTATTGAGACATAAACAAATCCAAAATTAAAATGTTTTTAAACGTGAAGTGCCATATATATACATAATGTAAATTATCACGTTTGGAGTATTTTTTAATCCCTTGAATTCATTTTAATAACTATATTGAAAATAAATAGTTTATGATAAATATATATATATATATATATATATATTTGTGAATTCATTTATCGATCTAAGCACAGTTTAATCTAACTCGTGAGTGTCTTCATCAAAAAAAAACACATCGTAAATTCACGTGAAAGCCGAATTTTAACGTCAAAAATCGTTCTTTGTGAATATTGAGATGTCTGTTGTCGTGTTAGTTAGACAGGATGAATCTGTAAAACAATACAGCATAAAACAAACAGAATAAATTGTTTATTATCAGTTGATTATAACCTAAAAATATTTCATCTTGAAATAATAATAATAATAATATGTCACTGGTTGTTGCACAACTCTGTTCTCTCGGTAGTTCTTTACATGTACATCACTGCCATATTGCATAATAAAATAGGAATTTTTGTAGCTAACATCCTGTATAGCCAAACTGATTTCCTTATATTAAATTGTATTTACTACTGTAACTTGTTAATCTTCATTTTATGAATACAATTTACGTCATTTTAAGGAATTTTCACATATTTTAAATCCCTTAGTGGTATCCTCTTATAGCCTGCATAGCTTCCATCACTAATGACATATTTTGTGAATTAATGTTATTCCTTAACAGAAGAATCTTTTCATAAATGTATGAAATGTATAAATAAGCTTCGGGGAATTAATTGTTTCCTTTTATTCCTAGAGGAACATAGGGCTTCAGCCGTGCGTCTCCATTGCGTTCGGTTCTCTGCTAGAGTCATCACCTGGCTCCAAGTCTGTACACACGTTTTCATTTCCTCTTCACATGACCTCCTCCAAGTCACCGTCGGACGACCAACTCGCCGCTTCCCTTTCGGGTTCCAGTCGAGCAATGGCTTGTCTAGTGATGTCACTTGATGGTTTCCTCAGAGTATGATCAATCCATCTCCATTTCTTCTTGTATATTTGTTTCACAATCGGTTCCTGGTTGGTTTGCTGCCAGAGATCCCTATTGCTGATGTTTTCTGGCCGGCCATCTGATCTTGAGTATTGAGCGAAGACAACTGTTGATGAAGGTCTGTAGTTTGTTTGAGGTGCTCTTTATGACGCGCAGTGCAAGTCTCTGATCCGTATAGTAGCACTGACTTCACATTGGAGTTGAAAATCCGGATCTTATTTTTGATGCTGAGTGCTGTTGACCTCCACACAGACTTGAGAGTAGTGAAAGCTTGTCTTGCTTTTCCGATTCTTGCTTTGATATCCTCGTCAGTTCCGCCTGTAGTTGAAACGATGCTTCCCAGGTAGGTAGGTAAAGGAGGTTGTTTCTTTTAGGTTCCTCCCATTTATGCTGATTGTTGTTTGTTGGTGTTGTCGGTGTTGCCCAGGAATCTTGATTACCGCTGTTTTCTCTATGTTCACCTGCAGTCCTATCCTCTCCGGATGCTTCTTCTGTCAACTTGTTGCTTTTCACTTGCATATCTTCCAGTTTGTTGGAAATCAGACATATATCATCGGCGAAGTCCAGATCCTCCAAGTTTTTTGTGTGAGTCCATTTTATGCCTGTTTCCTGATTGCCCGCTATCTGTCACATCATCCAGTCTACCGCAATTAGGAAAATCATTGGAGATAGTAGGCAGTCAGGTAATCTTACTCCCGTCTTCACTTCGAAGGATTCCGAGAGTTTCCCGTTGTGGATTACTTGGCATGCAGCATTGTCGTACAGCTGTCGGACGAGATGTATAATTGTTGGTGGCACCCCATAGTAGCGTAGTAGTTGCCAAATCACCTCTCGATCGACGATGTCGAAGGCCTTTTCAAAGTCGATGAAGCATTTTACAATAGACACTTTCCTTCCTTTGGAGTTGAATCTGGCGGTCCGGGAATTAAAATCTCCCAAAAATATAATTTAATATACCAAAGACCCCATTCAGGTTCAAGTGTAATATTTATGGCGTAAACACTTCATTTAAGGCATCGGCTTCTCATGTATCCATCCACCAAGTCTTTCGTCTTCTACCGTTTCATAGGCCTTGGTCTTAGAGTTTGATTTAAGGACTATGATCAAGTCTATAGAATTTCCAGTTTTCTGCTAAATTAGCTGTAGTATAAAAAAGCTTACTGGCGGAGTTCTGTAATCCAACCCCAAATTATTCAGGTATTATGAATACTCCCCACTCATCGCTACCAGTAAGCCCAACTCTGATGGAAATCAGGACAGTTTTTCAAGCGAAGATCAAACATGTGATAACAAAAAATCCTTAGTTAGCGCGAAGCTTTTTATCTCATTTCAGGTTTATTCAACGCACTTTTAATTTTAAATTGTTAATTGTTAATTTTACACATATGTCCGATGATAAGGTTTGTTCATCAATTCTGGTAATTTACTTGTCATTATAATGAGGCATAATTCTTTGAAATCATTAGCGATTCAGTTTTCTCTTTCATCACTATCCAATGATCATCACTTTGATTGTGAACACTTTCATCTTTTGGTTAAATGAAATTATGTTTCCATGTGTATTTATGAGTAGAAAACATGATCAAAGAAGTCAGAAAGACGAAGAGGAAGAAGAAGGTGGTGGTGGTGGGGGGGGGTGCAATGCTTACACATTAGTTGCAAATTTGTGTCTTGTTACGTCAATGCACCCAGCACACTTTGAAGCTAATGTACAACTTGATCACTAAAGCTATAATAAATTTCTTTTGAAAAAAAAACATCAAACGAACACTGAGTCTAAAGTGTATAGTGTAAATAAAAATTTAAGTCATGCATTCACCATCCTCAGAATGTTTGTTTTGTTACACCTTAGTATTTTAGTGACTATGAGTATAATATACCTTTCTCTTTACGCAATATACTATCATGTATAAAAATTTCTAACCAAAAATAAAAAAGAAACACTTTATATGTATTAATAAATTTAAATCCTTCTATAATTTATTATTACGTCACACAGTAGTTGATTTTAAAATTAATTAGTGAATTCTAAAATCTCCACCTTTTTAATTAGAAATATGTCTAGAAAAACTTGATATTTCATAAGATATTTATGTGTTCAATCTAGGGGTAATAATATTTTTAATTTTCAAGTATTGGTTTTGTAGGGAATTTTGTTTGTTTGATTGTTTGGAGGATTTCATCATGAGCTGACATCAGTTAGAGAATTAGCAGAAGTTAGAGTTCATGTGCCATTGGGTCGGGCTGCAGTGGCTTAATGGTCTACAAGCTTGCCTTGTAGCCAGAAGGTCCTGGGTTTGATGGAGAGTCCTAAACTAGGAAGAAACAGCTGTCCAATACTCCCTGAAGGTTACCTCATGGTCCTGTAACTGATGTCTGCTCATGATGAAATCCTCTAACCAATATTTTTAATGTTTAAAAAGTATATTGAATATCTGCATGCCCAACTTTTATATAAAATGAACTCAATAAATTTTTATGAAAATTTAGGTTGATTTAAATCGAATTCTGTCCTTTTTCCATTCTGACTTTTTAAAACCCAAGCTTCACCCAGTAAAGTTTACAGGTTGTTGATCAATAAGTGAAGAGAATATTTTGCCTAGCGTTCTTCTATGTAATGATAAATTTTTACTGGGATATTCAGAGATTTTGTGAATATAAACTTCAAAGAGAACATTATTTAATGAGTGGTGATTGAATGTGAATCAAAAACTAGGTATATATGACAAGAGTCGTCCATTGGTCTTTACATTTGTGGACCAGTCGAATTACCTGGCACGGATACTATTTTCTGCTGTCAGTCTCTTTCCCATTATTGAGAATTTCACCATCTATCATGCAAATTAGAGACAATCATCTATGCGTTTAACATCACAATATCTGCCCTGATCAGGCTTCTTACCACATTTCTGTCATGTTGGATTAAATAGTTGAGGCGAATAGTGATCTATTGTACAGGCTGTCTCGGAGAACTTGAGGCAGGCAGACTGAAAATGAAATCATATCTAACAGTTTCAGGCAGAGTAAATACTAGGATCATTGTTGGTATTCAAGCTAGCTTTCAGCTAGCCTTCTTAAGTGAATTTTAGGAAGTTCAGTAAATACTTTTAAAATCTTTTTATTTCATTTTTCAATACTACTTGTTTATTTGTATTTGCACTTATCATGTTTCATTATTTAAAAATATAAAAAATATTTTTCTTAACAATTTTTTATTATAGCTCCAAATGTTGATGTTGAACATGCAGAACATAATAAAGAGAAAGTTCTCAGTTGTATTGAATCAAAATTAGGAGTTGAACTGAAACCATTCTTCATTGTTGTTGGTCGTTTAAGAGATGTGAAAGATCCAATGTTTGCGCTGAACTCATTTCTCGGTAAGACATCCAAAAATACGAATTCTTAATATATATTTATTTTTCTAATAAATAATTATATACTTATAAGTAGATGAAATAATTATACGAAAATGTTATGGAACCTAAAGCGTAAGTATTTAGAAAATTGATAAATTTGCAAGTACTTATTAGAGAAATGAAAAAAAAGCATAGGAAGTATTGCTGTTTATATATTATAGTGACAAATGAGAGCCTCGTAGTCTTCATATGTACATATTCCTTAACTTCTATGAGAGCCTCAAAATGAAAGCAAAATAATTCCTTTGTTTGTATTCCAGTAAGGATGTGGTGTTTGCTATAAAGATGCAGATTGATAGAAAGCTACCAAAAATCGAAATCCACATTTGAAATCAGTGACTGCAGGGTTAGAAGTGTTCAATTCCTCAAATCTGTATTTAGTTTACATCGTAGTCTGGAAATACCCTCTCTGGATAACTTTTCCTTCCAACCTTGAGCCATTCTCCAACCAATCAGAAGAGTTTATTGTTCGCTGACGTAGCCGAATTTTAATATGATTAAAAACGTATAAATATGATGCTTTTTTCGTAATAAAAAAGTCCATTATCACTTCTCTTATCTTGTGCAGTGATAAGGCTATTACGTAACATCTCTAAATCAAAATGGCTATGCCTGTTTGAAGTATATACTTAAGATAAAGATTCCGCGATATAGTAGATTACTTTGTAATCTTTATTTACACAATATCGAATTTATTCAGTAAACAATAAATTTACGAATTAGATAGATAAAAAGAACAACAACATGTAATCCAATTCCCTCAATAAGGGAAAGGAAAATTATTAAACTGTTAGTTCTGTAAATCAGTAAACTGAAAATTTATAACAATAATAATAATAATAATAGTAAAAGATAAAATACGCACGAGAACTTTATCTTTCAGTCTAGAGAAGGAAAAAGGATTGACGATTATCAGTAAATGATACACTTAATTTGAATGCAAAGATTAAAGTGTTTTAAAGCTGAAACAAACAAGCTTTCATTTTGTACACAGCTTTTACTTTTCTACTTTTCTTCTATATCATATAAAAGTCTTTGTTCCTTTTAACTTTTAAATTAACAGAATTCTCAATGAACGTTTTAGTTATTATTCGGTGGATGGTGACTAGCAGTGGAATAAAAAATGAGCACGTCGTCCTACTTGGGACTCTTCAACTGGATTCCCTCTCAGTACCCAGTGATTGCTAGATGAAAAGCACACCTTGGACTCCAGTGCCAGTCACCATCCACCAAATAATGCCAAGTTAATCCTCAAACATCTTTGAAGCGTCTGTAATACGAGCAAACATGTCCACAGAGGCCGAACATTTCCATTCAACCAATCAACAGTAAAAACAAATGTTTTGATTGTTTAAGATTCTTTGACGTTGCTGAAATTTGTGTACAAAATTATGTGAGTTAGTATATCTCAAGAAAAAGACAAGTTGGATTGAATTTATGTCCACAGGATACGATATATTTTCGAATGAATTCTTGGGAACTATCGCTTTCTTCGCTGTGTGTAGATGTAATACGATACTGAATGATTAGTTACATAAGCTTATTTTACCGATACATATAATCTTGAGAAGAACAATTAAAAAACTTATGGGCGTAGTTAAATTTTTAGTTTATAACGTCAATGTTTAGATAAATAATAATATTTAATTGGTCACAATTGGTATTATTTCAGTTGTTATGTTTCTTCGGGAACGAACATCAGTTAGAGAGATCACTGAAAACCAGGGAGCATTGAACAGCAGTTCACACGCACGACACCGCCACTGATCGAACCTGGAGCCTTCAGGTTACGAAACGAAGTTATTTGACCATTCAGGCACTTTGGCCTGAATTTCAGTGGTCCATAACCTGAATATCAATCGTCATCTCATTGATGATCACTGGATAGATGTCCTGAAGAGGTAGAGAGTTGTTACCAGTGGGATAGCATATATCATCGTGAAGTGGATGCTCATCGAATGCATCGTTTACTAACTGATAAAGTTAAAATTCACGGGTCATTGAATTTTAGCCTATGTGGCTAAATTTTCAACCAACTCCGTTTTGTAACCTGAGGAGGGTTTCAGGTTCTGTCCCTGGTAGGGTCATGGGTGGGCACTGCCGAAGAGTCTCAAATAGGGCGAAAATGCTGTCCCGTACTGCCCGGTTTTCAATGATTTTTCGAACTGAAGTTGGTTCTTGAAGAAACCTGACAATCGGAATTGATCCAGGTTCCCACAAATTCCATAATCTGAATAGGTAGTAAGTTCACAAGAGTTCTTACAAAAAATAATTCAAGAATTTCTTGTAACATGTACGTATTTTTGTTTTGTGTAGATTTACGAAAAAAGGGAGATAAACCATTTATTATCATCTATTATATTTTAATTTATATTTACGATGATTTTTGTAGTCAACAAAATGCTGGACCCTTGAATTCGTACTTCTTGTAGTGCACCTTCAATGTTTTTAGTTTTTGTTTTAATGTGTACTTGTAATATGGGCCCTACGTCACACTTCTTGTCTGGACACCATAACGCTTTCACGCTCCTTCACTGTGCTGCCTACAAGCACACTCTTCCAGTCTGTTATTCCGCATCACTTTAGATAAGTTGTACAATATTCTTATTTATTACACTGAACATTTCAACTGTGGTAAAAAATACAATTCTTATCAGGGCACACTACCAAGTTACGAGCCTTTTTACCTCGACTTCGTTAATTGGTACTTACACGTTAGGTAGAGTACTGGCTAGAGTATTAAGAGGAGAAGTCTTTAGTAAGTGCGGTTAATCAAAGTCCACCTTTAGTACAACCAGCCACTTACATTCTTGTTCTTCTTCATGTGAATATTGACTTTCAAAATGAGATAATTCCTACGATTCACTCATGCATTACTTACATTTGTGGGACTGGCTAACTAATAAAAAGGTATATTGCGACTGATCTTCTTAATACAAAAGACTCTCAAATTACTAATCTTTTTGAAGTCACTTTTTGTAATGACACTGCTCAACATACTTCCTATCCCATGGTAATACAGTAAAAGAATTTTCGATTTTATCAAAGCTAAAAGCATCATTAATTTATATATATATGCATTCAGTTAGTACTACATTTAATCTATACGTTGATGTTTCGGTTGATTCCTAGTTTTTTTGTTGATTTTTTTCTAATAGCCAGGATGACTGTTTATTCGGTACAATCAGTATAGATGATAAAGGTTTTATTCAGTGATGTTTTATATTGATGCTGTGATAAGTAGGAAAACAAAAAGTTGATAATTTAAGTCATGTGCCTCCACTTAATTAACTAACTGTAAACATTTCTGATTTTTGACTGAATTAGCTATCAGTGTCATTTTACAACTGGATGGAAGTAGGTAAAATATAATGAAGAAGCTTTTCTTAGCTCTAAAAGAGGGCTATTAGTTTGATAGTTGTAAAACGAAACAAGTTATAGTATAGGACCTTTCGAGTACGAAATAAAAAAGTTAGTGCGTTGAGCCACTTCAGCATCAGGGTTCGAGTTCACGCCCTATTTTGCAGCTGAGTACATTTTCCGTACCGTATGTTCGCTTGTAAAACGCCCTCAAAAACACTATCCAGCCTGGCTAGCGAGGGAAGAAAGTAAGTGTTTTTATAGCTTCGTAACAGAACACTCAGCTCCACTTTATAATTCCTTCAAAATCATAAACAAGATCCGATCAAACCTCTCAAAAGGAGTGGGATCAAGGCATCTGTGCATAGTGGAGTCACTATCTATCCGAAAGTTTGAGAAATACTCCAACCTTTGTCTCTATCAAGGCCATCATAAACAGTCGATTCTGAAAAAGTGATTATTCTATCACATTTCTTATCCAAACTTCCTGTTTAATTCTGTGGTTTTAACACTTTTCATTTCTACTTACATTACTATATTCCTTAGTCCAAACTCCTGTCTGTTACTACGTTTTTAATCCCTAATTGCACAAAAAATCAATTTTCCCAATTATTATGATAACGCCATGTTTTTATGCAGTCTTCCTGTTTATTTTGTTATTATTACATTTTAATCTCTATTAGTAATCTTACTAATTTGCCCATGGACCGGAAATAGTTCTGGAACTTCCTTACCTATTTACTATAAATACATTCATGTACAACCTAGTTGATGACTTCGTCGAAGAAAAATTTCTACTCTGCAAACGTCTTTTCAATATTCCTAATGATCTCACATGAATACTCCATTATTTCAAACCAATAAACGCGATTAGTCCATTAAAATTGGCTTTAAGAAGAATCTTACCTAGACTGATGAATTTACTATATTCCTGGAGCATATAACCGATGATAATGGCTAGTAATCAAACCAACTCTTGAACATCAGTATAATTCTCACTAGCGACTGGCCCTATTCAGGTAGGTAGTTACCTGGGTTCTAGAGAGAATTTGTGACCAGTGGGGTATAGTAGGTGGGGTGTGAGGACAAACACTCGCCGTGGAAGACATTGGCTAGTGGTCGCGCTATATCGTAAACTGGCACACTTGTCATTTATAGGCCATTGGGTTGGGTCTCTGTGGGTTAATGGTCCACGAGCTCACCTTGTAACCAGAATGTCCTGGATTCGAAACTCGGTGGGTGCGTTCTGTGAAGAGTCCCAAACCATGACGAAACATCTGTCCAGTACTCCCAGCTGGTTTTCTAGTGGTCCTCTAACTGATGTCAGCTCACGATAAAATCCTGTAACCAATCAAATCCCGCCAAACTCAAACTTGAATTCTAAATGTTGTTATATATATTCACTATTTGAGGCCTGAAGTAAGCCGTGATGTTTACTTTTCATTATGGTTAAAGAAAAGAAGTTTGTTGCAAGAAACTGAGACTATGAAAAATAAACAATCAACATGCAACTTATTATCTTCAAATAAAGTACTTGAAAAAGTTATGCTTAAGTTAACTTGGTTGTATAAAAAGTTGCCATAAAAATTGAGACAAAGTTT